GCTGGATATTAGCTCAAGCAGGAAGTTATCACTTTAATAACTATAAACATCCATTTGCTTGCTTCGTTACACAGCATTAAAGCTGGGCAGATCATTTACAACGAGCTCGTTAGAACTGCTCCGTGCGCCAAGATGAGTGGTTGTTACTGCTAGGCACACAGGAGACCAGGAAGGAGGGGGGAAGCTTCCCAGTATGTCAGTGCCACACTTCTGCTTGAAATACCTGGAACTGCTCCTCTGCTGATCTGAAAACATTACTTCTTGTTCACATAGGACTACGAATTCCCAGGCTGTATCAGTTAGACCACAGGTGTGCAACTTTTTGGCTCACCTGGGCCTCACTGAGCGAGGAGGAATTGTATGGACCTCATATAAAACATATGCTATAGTTCATGTATACACACAACAAAACTTTTTTTTTTTTTTTAATGTAAAAAAGAGGACAACAAAAACACCAAACCATTGAGTTGGACACTTACGACGCTAAAAGACACACAAGGCAAGTTGCCACCCAGTGCACCACCATCACAGCCCCAGCAACCCCAGGCACAAACAGGACAGGCCTCAGCTCTCCATTCAGTTATTTGGTAGAAACCAATTTCCCCACCCCCTCAGTGCCCCCCAGACAAAGCAGTGGGGAGGGCAGCACTCCAGCACAGCCAGCAGCCTTTTCTCCCCTGCTGCAGAGGAAAAACCCTTTGTTTCCCCCCAAAAATACTGTCAAAATAACTGAGTAATTGTTGTTATGAAAATGTGTTTTGTATCAGCAGAATTCGCTAATGAAGCAAGCTGACAGACACATGAAGGAGCATGCAGAAAGCTCTGGCACTGAGAGGTGTTTTGAACATACAACGTTGCTTGGCCGCTAAGTTACTGATAGGAAAAATACTTAGTCACTTCCCAGCTGTTCCATGGCAGGCTGAACCATTAAATGTAAACCATTAAATAATTCTGAAAGGAAGAGAACAGGTGGCAAATGGCTTATATGGCAGATGGTGTCTTTTTTAATATTTGTACTGGCTGCTAATTTACAGAGTCCATAACTGCACGCTCGTATCTTACCTTTTCCATTTGAATAATTAAGAAATGGGATGTGAAAAAAATAAATCCCCTCGCCCCTAATACAGTAGCCATAAAAAAGGCATTTGAGATTACCAGCCATTCCATACCTGAAGCACCACATAACTCTACATTCTAGGATTTTATTGTGTTTTTTTTTTTTCCTAAGAGAGAGTCCTCTTCAAAGCCTTGGCTTGATAGTGCTGGAAAATTAAGTTCTCTCCTTACCAGCAGAGCAAATGAGCACAAGGATGCAGCACAGATCACTGCATAGCTGCTTTCCACAAGCTTTTATTTGGTCTTTATGTTAATGCTGGCACAAAACCCACATTAACAGAAAGGATGGCATTAAATATTTAAATAGAACGTACGAGCAGAACCACCAAGAGATAGAAAAGGGAAAGAGGAAGAAAGAAAGAACTAACCTAAAGCTGATCTCCAGTAGTATTTCTGCACTGTTCTCCATGTTAGCTCACTGATGTTAAACCACCTCTCTGTGCAGCAGAAACCACAGAAATACTCTGCTCAGGTTTCTCACCATGACGACGACCAGAGCTCTGCAGAGCAGTTCCACACTTGCTGAGTGCAGACCATTTACCCAATGCTACCAGGTTCTCCAAGCAAGGAAGAGCAAAAATGCCACTGAACAAAAGAACTGAAGCCCAGCGCTCTCCGGGATGCCAAAGCTTTGCAAAGCACAAGGTGCACCCAAAGCTTGAGATGCCATGTACCACCTCGTTGGGTTCACCCTGCTGGCTTTGTCTGCTCACAGGTAGCTCTTCACCCAGGGATAAGGAGCTTTCTGGCAGTGAGCATCTGGCACTTATTTTCTATGTCCCCAAACCCAGAATGGGGCATTGGCCACCACTAGCTTTGGCTGGAATTCCCTTTCAAGTGGTGCCAAGCAGTCATTCTGTCACAGCAGAAGTCCCTAACAATTACAGCTTTAACTGCTTTCAGATGATATTCAGGACATCCATCATTAGAAGCGCAGTCACCCTTTCCTTCGGTACTGCTTTTAGGACAGAAGCCTACACTGTGGCAGACAGCAAACAGAGCAATGCATCCAACACCTCTGCAAATACACTTCAGAGCTGTACCACAGGACTTGTCTGGTGTGGTTTGAGGCAGAAAGGAGAACATGGGGAGGCTGCCCTGTACTGCAGCTGCTGGGAGGCACACGGCAGTGGCGGTGGAGTTGGTGTAACTTGGAGGAGAAGAATGGTCAGTGGTCAAAGGCAGCTTAGTGCTCTGCTTCACTATTGCTGTACAAGGTAATGACTGGGAAAGCCTCAAGACAGAGTATAATTTAACATACAGAAAATGCCAGGCATACAGTGTGCTTTAAACCCTGCCTGCCTTTCAGCAAAAAGCATCATCATGCTGACGTTATTAAAGACGACTCATGGATCTCAGAGAGAAATAGATCTGTGAGAGAACATTATCTGCAGACCCCGGGGCAGCTGCATTCCTCTTGCTTCATGTAAGATTTATAAACTAACCCAGTAATTAATGAACTTCCCATGTTCTCCTTGTTGAAAGTTTATGTGAGATAATGTTCTTAGAGTCATAGAACCACAGAACCATTCTGGTTAGAAAATCCCTCTGAGACCCCCACCCAGCCCACAGTCCCACTGCCCACATCCCCATGGCTCTGAACACCTCCATGCACGGGGACTGCCCACCCCTGGGCAGCTGTACCAGTGCCTGGCTGCTCTCTGAGCAGACATTGCGCTGATACCAACCTGATACCAACTCTGATACCACCAACCATTCCTTCCCTCCAAAAGTAACACCAACTCCATCACCCCCTACTGCACATCTCCCAGCAGCTTGCACAGCAAGCTTCCCTGCTCCACTCTGTGCTAAGGACTCACCCCACACATCTTTCTTTTTACTCACACCTATCCCAATTCTGATTCATTCATTAGAGCTCATGAAAACTCCCATTTATTACTTTCCTTTTTTTCCCAGCTCCCAGGCCTCGCCGCCATCCTCAGTGCTCTGCTGCAGCTCAGGAAGCTTTCCATCAAGCTCGTGTTGACAAAGATAATTTAAAGTGAACACCTCAGAGTCCTCTTCACCGTGAGCACAATAAAAAGGAGTTTCATAAAAATGTTTTATGTAAGCCTTTGCAAAGGAAATAGCCAGCCCTCCAGAGAGAATGATTAATAGAGAAAAATGGTTAGCTGAATCTCGAGTTTATTTTATATGTGCCGGGCATTTCCAAGCTTTCTTTCCTAAAAAGCTGCTATATATTCCATAGGAGAACACACCCAGAAGCGTGTGGTGTATTGTGAATGATTGATAATGGGCTGATTGCTCAGGCACTCAGAGCATGGTAGTTGATAGCCTATCACACAGTCATTCGAAAGGAAAGCAACAATTATCATGGCCTGACATGTTTATCACAGCAGAGCCGAGCCACTTATCTTAACTCTATAGCTCCTTGATATTATAATATTCTATCGTGTCTAATACAATTCATGCAGGGCTCAGTGCTGCAGCTGTAAATCAGAAGTCCTGCGACTGCTTCTCCCAGGAATGCCCGAGCATCTCAATTCAAGGAAGAATACATCTAGCATCTAAATTTGTATTTCAGCGCGGATGAAGAACGACTCTCTTCCCCTCCGATTCCCCTATAAGATGCTCACTTTCAGAGGGTAAAGTGATCGCTGTGGGTCAGAAAATATCCCATGGGAATCCCTCAGCTGCCACCCCACAGGAGCACCTACAGAACTCTGTGCTCTGCTGACAGGATGGTCCTTTGTAACAGCTGGGAGACCGTATCCCTGCGGGGACATCAGCTCTTCACACCCTGTAGCCCTTCCCCAGCAGCCATTTATCTGCGCCGCTCTGATGGCTGCTCAACAGGAACGATAATTACAGAGATCCATTTCTCATGCGAAGATTTCATCTGAACACCCAATATCATAACTGCATACATCCTGCCAATTTCAATCTTGCTGCGTTGTGCTGCGTTACTTCAAGTACCATAAAGATGGAAAAGGTGCCAAAAATACATTTTTAAACTTAATTGGAACACTGCATTTCAGAAATAGAGCCTTAAGCATCCGAAGCACAAATAGCTCCAAAAATGACCACGAAGACCTACAACAGGAGACTCACACAGCAGACAGGGATGCTGCAGAGCTCCCCGGTACCACATGCAGTGTCATGCAGAGGAAACAGCAGGTTTTGCAGTGAGCGACCACAGGCACATCATCCACACCCAAACCTGTAAGGAAGCATGCAGAACCTAAGGCTACGTTCCTCTAGCAGGCTTTATAAGGAAGCAATCTGCTTCTGTCCCAAACGTTATCACTGAGCTCTGCTCTCTGCTGACAGTGACAGGACCTGAGCATGGAGCTTTGGCAGGGGAAGGTTGGGTTGGGTTAGGAGAGGACTGTGCTCCATAGGCAGAGGGCACAGCTCCAAACTGCTGGAGCTCAGCAAGCACTGGTACACCGCTCTCAGCCTAGGGTCTGGGGTTTGTTGCTGCTATGTGGGACAGGGGCTGGACTCGATGACTCCTGGGGGTGCCTTTCAACTCTGTTGGATGTTCTGTGGTTCTGCCCCTCTATGTCACACAGACGCCTTTCAACTGCCAACATTGCAACCACCCAAATGACACGCAGACCCAGCGCCATTAGGACCACATTTCCTTCCCAAAGCTGACAGAGGATGCAGCTCAGTTCACATACTGCCCACAACTTTCACAGTATACCAAAAGATTACTAACAAGCACAAACTTTTAACACATGCCATCAGAGAACACCTGTAAGCAGTACCAGAGAAAACAATTTAATCCCAGGTGTGTGTGCTTACACAGCAGCTGTGTGCTTGCAGCTACCAAACCACAGCAGCAGGACGCACACAGAGGCAGTTTGTGCTGCAGAGCACACAGTGCTTCTTCCCCACCCCGACCCAAACGACCTTACCTGGGAATGGGGAGCCCAGCACTGGGATCCTGAGGGGTGAGAGGGTGAGCAGGCGGCACTGTGGGATGCTGGATGGGGGTGGTCCTGGCGGGGCTTCAGCCTCTACTGCCAGCAGCGCCAGGCTTGGAGGACTGCCCACAGGGCTGGGACCACGCCGGCAGCCACCTGCAGAGAGAGATGCAATCATTTCATTGGGATGAAAGTAAGCATGCTTCCAGCATTCTGAATTAAAGGCAGCACAAACACACAGAACATTCTTAACCTTGCCTCCAACATCACAAGATAGGACTGTAGAATGGCTGAGGTTGGAAGGGACCTTAATGAACATCTGCTTCTAATAAGATGTTACACTTTGAAAATGGTTCCAATGTTCTCACAAAGTCATGCTAATTTCTTTAAGAAGCACTCATTGCAGCGCCACTGATGGTTGGACTTAATGACCTTGAGGGTATTTTCCAAACTTAAGACTATAAAAGGAAGCTGTGTTTTATGCAGTGCCTTTGGCAAGGCTATGGTGCTGGCACCATGGCCCCAAGCCCTTCTTGCTGTTATTCTTCCAGAACTCTGAGCTTTGAACCCTGGGTGTGAGAACAAACCCTTGCAACCTGAAGGGACAACACAAGCAATACTGAGTGATGTATAAGCTGTGCAGAGTTATTAAATTTAAATGATAAAAACCTCAATAATAGAAGAAGCCAAGCAGTTGAAAGTATTGATCTGTGTTCACTTCATCTGTCATGGTTCATAACGATGCACAAACACCCGTATCTGACTTCTGCTAAATAAAAGCTGTCTGATTTTAGATCTGAATGCTTATGTTGCCCATTACATTAAGCAGACATTAATGTTACCTGTTGGACTGCTGCCCTGCTCTGTGCATGCAAGCACCTAAGCTGTACAAGCTTCATGTGCAGGTGCCTCCACCTTGAGCACACATTATGCAGAAATTTCATACAATCATAGAGTGGCTCAGGTTGAAAAGGGCTTCAGCACCCTCTGAGCAAAGAATTTCCTCCAAACACCCAACCTAAATCTCCCCTCTATCAGTTCATATTCTTTCCCCTTTGTCCTGCGACTGTAAGACTGCCTTGAACAGGAACTCAGCAGCTGCCCACCAAATACAGGCTCAAACTCTGACTACACAACATTTACCTTGATGTCTGAGATGCTTAAGGGGAAGACCTTTGGAGCTCAATCTTGGCTAAATATGTTAAATAAACAAGAAAATGAGCAGTAGAAAGTCTTAAGGAAAAACCTCATTTGACAAACACCAGCTGTTACTCCCTCTACACTGAGCTATGTATTCAAAAATTAAGCAATCATTAGCTTATTATGTTATTTAGCAAATGTTTTCAGCTCATGTGGAAACCCTTCAGGCACTGAGAGCCAACTGTAGCCGAACACAAATCCCTGCTTGATCACAGCAGACATTTCCTCAATCTGTTGGGTTTCCCGCACCTCTGCATCACTGCTGAGCCAGTGCCTGGCCCTGGGGGATCAGAAGGCACCAAGGGGCCCCACTGCCAGCTCAGCAGCAATGACTGAGAAGCCTAGAGAAGCCCCTAGAGAAGCCCCACCACTGCTCCACTCTGGACAGGGACACAACCCAGCCCCACGCAGCTCCGTGGCCAGGTGCCCTGTGTGGACCTCCAGACACCTGGATGCTCTTGTTGCCAAACATTCCTGCTCTCAGCCCTGGGGTAGGAGAAAAATGTTCTGTGCTTTTGGAAAGGCAATTGTTCCACTTACAGCTAATTGGGGCTCTTGAGGCTATTCTCCTCACTTTCAGCAGCTCTGCTTCTCAGTCTTATAACAAACAATTATTTGCCAACAAAATAAGCACTCCGTCTTTGCGAAACAGAAGTCAAATATTTTCAGTAAGCAGCATAAAAAAGCTCCATTATTGCTACTCTTGGATACCAGCTCCAAGAGGAATCCATTTCAATACTTGTATGAGCACCAATACAGCAGGCATGCAGGCATAGAAACACCAACAAACGATATCAACATTTTAATCGTTCCACTGTGGATAGATGAAAAATAGGTTGTTCTCCCAAAGTCACAATGGAAATATCCAAAGACCTCAAGGTCTGATTACTCGGGCTGTTTTGACAATTTTTGCATTCATTCACCTGAGAACAACCACAGCTGACGGTTGGGTTCCACACCCCAACTGTATGAGATCACTACCTGCAACCCTACCAGCTTCAGTGGGAGCAACCAATTGAACTCATTCTGCAACACTTGGAAAACAAATGTTGCATGGAGTAGTACTTTCCTGCCAGCCTCCTGTAGGGTACATGAGCAGAAAGGTTGTTCACTTCTCCACTGATTCTTCTTTTGGAGAACATGTCCCCCAAAGAGCTGAGCAAAGCAACAGAATCCTGCATTGCCAAAACCGAGCAGAACTCCTGGAGCTAGCAGGCCATCCTTATTAAAGTTTCATCAGCTCCGTTATTAAAGTTTCATCAGCCAGTTGAAAGAGAAGTTTGGGTGATTTCCCCGCCTTTGATGAGGCTCTCACTTGCTCTCTCCTACTAAATAATTCCACAACACGAGGATACCCCTGTAATTGTTAATACTGGAGCGCATCACTGCCTGTGGTCACCACACCTTCCACTGAGCCCACTGAACACCAGCCATCCCAGCAGGAGGATCCCCCAGCTCAGCCTGCCCCATAGGCTGCCTTGGGATGTTTCTTCTCAGGAGCTGGGCACTTCTTCAGCCATTGGCAGGATGCAGGAAAGCAGCTCTTTGCAGAAACCAATCCCATTTCGCTGGGAGAACTTCCAAAAAAGGGTTTTTTTAGAATCAAGCTTAATGACTTTACTTGATTTATAAGAAGCAAATGCCTTGTAAATAGGAGTAAAAATCTCTCATCTGGATAATCTTGAGGGGGACAAAATTATGACCAATGGCTTTTTCTCCAAATGTGTTTTTGCCAAGGCACACTCCATCCTGAGCAGCAACGCAGCAGCTGTCTGCCAAAACAACAAAACCCACATTGATGCTCTTTTCCAGCCTTCCTTCCCAGTGCCTCTACAGCAGCAGTAGGGAAAGACACAGGAGGTGGGCAGCACATCTTGGTGTGCAGCTATGGAAGCACAGAGCAGCTGAACAAGCAGTGGGGGTACTCAGAGATAGCAAATCAAAGGGGGTGAAGTGCAGTGATGGAGGTGGAACACAGCAGTGAGCCCATTGCAGTGAACAACATCTGATCTCCAAACACTGCCTGCAAACAGGAGATCCCAGATGTTGCCATCTGTGTAGAGAAGGCTCTACAAGCACAAATATGGAAGTTTCTGTTGTACCTTTCTTTTATTACAGCACAGCATCATTTAGGTAAGCTTTCTAGTTGCATCCAGAAGATCCATTTTCATATGGTAGATCCATGCTTGTTGGCTTCATAACAAACCCTGATTGTTATTACATTCTTTCAGTCTGTTTCTTCAGTTCTGCCTACAGGAAAACATTTTTCCCCCCTCCAAAAAACCATGAGCATCTCCCAAAACACCCAAATGAAAGAAGGAAAAAAAAAATCAAATGGGTTTTATAAAGACCTTCTACAAAGTTAAAGGAACTTTTGGGTGTCTTGATGAAGAATTAACTTTCTTTAAAGGAAACCTTTTTGACACAAATGGAGTTCCACTTCCAAGTGCTGCTCTGCCTCTTCCAATAGAAATGGACACCAGACACATGGGACCATGCAATACTCAACTTATATCTAAGCTTTCCTTTCACCAACAGTTCCATTTCAACACTACTCAAATGACCTTTGGTAGTTTAGGAAAAGGATTCCAAAACAGCTATCAAAGCACTGAGCAGCATCCTGAGGGATTTACAATACTTTCCATGTATGTTTAAGGTAGCAAATATTTGGAAGGCTCTCAATGGACACACATATTATGAAGGCTGTATGAAAACAAATACCAATTGAATTCAGGTTGATTAAATACTTTCAATGGAGAGCCAATGAAGTAATTAACACAGAGGCCTTAATCCTCACCTACAGAGGGCTGTATACTGTTACCAGTTCTTTTCAAAGCAACAGTTTTCTTGTTTGTTTTTAACTTCTATTCATAAAACAAGTAACAACCTGCACCAGCATCCTTATCTCTAGATGACTCTAAGATCTCTTCCAACCCAAGCCATTCTGAGGCATCCCAGCCCTGGCCTCAGGATCCCTGTTGGTTTCTGGCACCATTACCACTGCACAGCCCATCCATGACTCAATGTGCCACATCCAAGCACTGCACAATCCCAGCTGCTACTTAAAAAAGTTAAGAAGCCTATCATTTGTGATCACAAGGACATTCCAGAACTGTTTACTGAATCACAGCCGATGCTGCTTAAACCAGCTGAAGGCAGAAGGAGGGTTTATTACCAGACAGTAACACTCACAGTGGATCTCTCAGGTCTAGTCCTCCAGCTTGGGACCCATTCTGCAGCATAGGGTTGCCTCTTATTGCACCAGCCTGAAGGCAATAAATCTTGACACACAGCACAGATGCCACGGGATGCTCCTCGATCAGCTCCTGCTGCTGGGCCAGGGCAGCAGGTAAGTGCTGGAGCACAGCCCTGGGGCTGCCCAACCTGGCTGCAAGCAGCACAGCACTCCAGCACCAGCCAGCACAGAGCACTCATCACCACCTCTAAAGGTGTATGGAAAAGCAATCCAGAAGAACGAAGCATTTGAAGGGTGAATTTATTGTTTACTATCCCTTATTCCCTTTCCCTTCTGTCTGTAGAGTCTTTAAGAGGAACAAAATAAAGTCTTTTATGTGACAGTTCTTTATTAAACTTATTAGGCTGTTATCAGTATTAAAACTGACAACTGTCTCTTGATAGGAGAAGAGAAGAATGTAGTGGAAATGAGCTATGGTGACTGCTGCTGTCTGACCACCCCTCCCTGAAGACAAGCCATAAAAAGGAGGGAACAGAATAACAAAAGCCTGATTTCTACCTTAGATTCAGTCCTCCCAGAGTCTTGGGCTCCTGCAGATTACAACACTGCTTTCTCAGCACCTTCCTAGCCCTGGCCAGCTACACAAAGTGTGCATTTAAAGCACAAGGGAGGAACAGAGCAGGACAAAAGTTGCCGCTTGCTCGACCCATTGCAGGGCTGCACACAAGCTGCTTGCAGGTTGCTCCAGCCACAGCCCTGGAAGCTCTGTGCGTAGCATCATCTGGGAAACCACTGGGTGACAGAGAAGCACAGGGCTGAAAAGGGGGAGGATGGAAAATCCTCAGGTTTAGTAAGGCAGAGGTATACTGACCAGAAAGAATGAAGCATTTTTTTGTGGAGGAAGGCTGAAAACCCTGGCAGAAGGAATCATACAGAAACACAGAATGGCTTGGGTTGGAAAGGGCCTCAAGGATCATGAAGCTCCAACCCCCCACCACATGCAAGGCCACCATCCTCCATATCTAATAGTAGACCAGGCTGCCCAGGGCCCCATCCAACCTGGCCTTGAACACCTCCAGGGATGGATCCACAGCCTCTCTGGGCAGCTGTTCCAGCACCTCACCACTCTCTTGGTAAAGAACTTAAGGAAACCAAGTAGAGAATTTGCTTCAGCTGAAAACCTCATGCATTTACAGAGAAGGAAATTGGAAGCATTACCTACACTGAGCCCACTGCTTCATATCAGCATGCTGCTTAAGCATCTACTCAGCTATATCACTCAGTTTGGGCACTGCAGAAGACTTAGCTGGCCACAACAGGCCACTTCCAACAGAACACTGACTTCCCTCATCAGCAAAGCACACTCTGGAACTAATAGGTTTGTGACCTGAAGGTGGAGTCGTGACTAATTCTCTGCTGTCACTTCTTCACTGAACAGCACTCTCCAAGTGCACCAGTCCACCTGCAGGGCAGCACTGCCCCACACATGGCAGGCCCTAAGCCACTCATGATTTTAACATTTCAGGTGCTTCTTGCAAGGAACTTGGTCATTTTTTCTATCAAGCACAAACACTTGAAGACCTACAACACATGCATTTATCACACCTGCATTTATACTTGCAGAATTCAGATCCACTGCTGGCTCTGCTATCTGAACTGCACGTGGTTTGGAATTACAGGTGCTGAGCAACTAGAAGCAGTGCTTATCAATCAATAACACGAGGCAATGGCTTGACTTAAATAGTGCATTTATCCTAATACAAAGAAAAACATATTGATTTTCCCATCTTCCGAAGCCAAAAGGGAGGGGGGGGAAAAAAAAGTGTACAGCCTCTTACGTTTGTAGCCTCGTATTGCATGTCTGCCAGTAAAAGAACCACTGACTGCTCATTTCTATGCCCACACGCAATAAATAACAGCACAAAAACCAACAAAACAGCCACCACAGATCACTGAGGGATGAGTTTCTTTATAATGGTCTCAGGACCAAGCCGGACAATATTACAAAATAAGTTGGAACAACAAGCCTTTTCAATAGGCATATTGTAATGCAATATGCACCTCGTTTATATAATTGAAGTGAAAATTAACTGGTCTTAACTGGAGCTGAAGGGTAGATAAAACAGAGAGTGACAAAAAGCACAGGCTTAACGAACAAAGCCAAAACTTCAGGAAGGCTGCAACTAAACCAAGCATTCCCAAAGATTTCACCGTGTGCTCCTCCCTGAAGTGCCTGAATTAAGAGAGCTGTGTGACATTGCAGGGTCGTTCAGGTCCCTGCAGGGCTGCTCTTGTGTTACAAACTGGGAACTGTAGCACGTGGCCATTAAATACAGAAGTATCCAATCTGAGATGTCCCAAAGCTATCTGCTTGTATCCACAAAGATAAAGCTTGCCTTCAGTGCTTCCCAGCTGTTTGGAAAGGATTTGTGGGTGGAGAGGCAGGAACCACCTCGGCAGCCCATGCAGACCCCCACACATCTTCCATTCTCCAGGTCTCATTCATTCTGACTTCCCTAATTTTGGGTTTTCACTTCCTCCATTGTTATCATTCTGCCACCAACACCTTCACCTCCAGCCTCAGCTCCAGCTCCTGCCAGGTCTCCCATTCCTTGGTATCCAAGTTAGAGTGTCCAGGGGGATACAACAGCCCATCAGAGGGCTACAGCTCCACAGTACAACCAAGGCTCCTTTCTGCAGGCCACCAACCCCACTGGGACACAGAAAAAGAATGCCAGGAGGCAGGCAACGTGTGCTTCACATAACCCAGAGTGTGCCAGCAGCTGCTTCTCCCCATGGGAAGCTCAGTGTTAAAACCTGAGCTACTCAGTGCAAAGCAGTTCCAAAAACACGAACCACCCAGGAGCACCAAGCTGCAGTGCTTTCAGGAAGGCTTCCAGGGAGCTCCCCCAGCAGGGCAGTGCCAGACAACACAACCGATGTGGGCACATCTGACTTGGCTCCAAATGAGCCACAGCTCCAACCACGTGGCACTGCACAATGCAGCAGGCAGAAACCTTAATGCTTTCTCTGCACAAATACTCAAGCACTGCCTTCTTCCAATAGACATAAAAAAAGCTACCATTTCTAGGTGGGAAAATAAAATGCCATTATTCACTTTGAAAAACCAAAATTCCAAGTACATAAATTTATGCTTTGAAATATACTAGAGAATAACAGCAGAACCCTTTCCTTATGGAAAACACCACCTCCTGGTAGCCGGTACCAGCACTCACAGCTGCAAAATTACGTGCATTATCATTCACCAAATGTCAGTGCTTCACATTCCTGTATCTTTGTAACACTGCTGATAAATTGAGGAAACAATTATATCATTACCGATAACTGCAGAAGGCAAACCTGCCTGTGAGATGGGCTTTCAGAATGAACACGGCCACGCAGCCTGCTAAAAGCTTATTAACTTCTCAGTTTAAGCCACTTACCTGAGCAATTTGCTCTCTGTATTTTTAATCACTTTTCATATTAACCGTAAAAATTATACACTAAATACTTCAAGTACTACCATAATGCTTCCTAGGAACTTTAAGTATGTTTGGGAGCAGCTTCTCCTCCAGGCTGCAGAGCATTGGTATTATAATTTCCCATTCTTACAACGGTCATAAACGTACAGGTTTGATTTCATGAGCTCTGGAGCTCACCAACTGCTTAGGATGTTACTTGATTAGTATCAGCCAGATGCATTGATTGCATCAGTGCAAGTTAGCCAGGGGTCCTCGTGCTCCCGAGGAGCAGGGCAATAAATGCTGAGCACGCTGCTGGAGAAGGAACAGGAGCCCATGCCATGCTGGGCTGCACACAGCCATCAGCCCAGAACGTGGTGGGAAAACAATCAAGAGATGGAAGGAGGGAGGAGGCAGAGCCTAAGATGTCTTAACAGGTTGCCCAAGGAGGCTGTGGATGCCCCATCCCTGCAGGCATTCAAGGCCAGGCTGGATGTGGCTCTGGGCAGCCTGGGCTGCTGGTTGGGACCCTGCACATAGCAGGGGGTTGGAACTGGATGGGCACTGTGGTCCTTTGCAACCCAGGCCATTCTGTGATTCTATGATAACACAAAGAGCAACACTGCAGCAGCACTGCACACCAAGCCCTGTCTGAAAGGTAGGCAGCAGACAGGCTTCAGAGCAGGGAAAATCATCATTCAGTATAACTCTACCAGAAACCCTGCTCAGCAAGACATTCCAAATGAAGAAAATGGATCAGCACCGGTTTGATCCATCTCAAGTTCCCTTGACACAACAGCCCTGACTGCGCACATATTGTTCACTGGAAGCAAACCCTTTACACACAATGCAGCTCCCTCAGGATCACCCATGTGCCACTCGCTGCTCTGCCTGGCCAGCTCTTCTAATCCACGACCAGGTAGACTCGTTGTTTATGTTTGACATATTACATATGTACTTTAAACTCTCCACATCCACTGCATCACACGAGCTGACAGTTCAGGACAGGGCTCTCCCCATGCTCAGCAGAACGACACACACAAACCAACGTGTAAACCCAAGCCAGCTCAGCAGTTACCAGGCTACCAACCCACCTGCCATGCATGCAGCTATGCAGAACTCCTCCTTCACCATTGCATTTGTTATTAAAAACACACTTTGAACGACGCAACACAACTCAAATATTCCCTGTGTGACAATAGAACAGATTTTCAGGCTGTGGCACTCTTATTTATGACCGCTGTCATTCCCAACAGAGAGACTCTGCACTACAGCGGAGCATCGCTCGATGCTGGCAAGAACAGAGCACAGCTTTCCATAAAGGACTGCTAGAAGCATCCCAGCACAGAGCTGTTCTGCGCTGTTCAACGTGCTTCCGTTCTCAGCAATATTCATTGCTCATTAATCAATCTGGCAAAGCAACCCGAGCACTCATCCCTTCCAGCACCCTCTATGTCTTACTGCAAAAACACAGAACTGCCTGCATGCTGCGCAGCTTCCAAATACGGAGCGCTGCTCACGGCAGTGCCCACAGAAACCCACCAGAGGAACATTACCTGACACCTAAGGAACGCAGGAGCAGAGGCAGCAAGCCACTAAGAATACCCCGATTCTGAATTTCAGAATCTAAAATTTAAGTACCAACAGCCTTTTTCTTCCTAACCTCCCCCATGAGACAGCTGCTGTCTCAGATTAACACCGTGACACAGAAGCAGAGATTGGGCTCTAGAGCAATGGAATTCCAAGTATAAATCCCAGCTTTTCTATTAGCAGCTGTGTTCTGCAGATTAATGTCATTTATTTAATAAATACCACTGTACACAACTGAGTTTTAATGAGATGACCAATCAATCACTGTCCTCTGCTGATAGTTGTCTATGGAAACCACATCTCACTCCAAAAATTCACAGCAAATAGGAGAATCCTGGACGAACTGAGTTGGTCTTTTTTTGTTGGTTGGTTGAAAACAAACCCAGAACCTTGGAGCTGACTCGCCCCATCATTCTGGAAGCAGACTGCCAGCTACAGAATTATCTGTTGCAATCTCCTTCAATTAATACATCCTTGACATACTTTGGAAGTAACTTAAGGGATGAAGAGCTCTCTGCCATCAAGGTTCCAGATCAGTCGGGAGAGTTTCAGAGGAATGGAATGAAACCCTTACTTTAGGAAATGGCTCATTCCTCTCCTGAGCTGCATGAATGGTGGTAAATACTCAATTATTTACTAACCTGGCATCAGCGGAGGTGCCAGCACCACTGTGGGAAGAGGCCTGGAGGCAGGAGCTGGCCTGGCAATGGCCATCGCCACTTGATTTGTCATTAGCAGAGGCTTCTCATTGCCCTGGAAGAGGTGCGGTTCCTCAGGATGTATCCACGCAGAATCCAGAGCAAATGCATTATTTAGGTATATCTGTCCAACACAAGCAAAAGAACATTAAGGTTGGAGAGGCTTTATTCTCCCTTCCATCTCCGAGCTTTTGTTTTTGTCTTTAACTTGTTATTACCGCATGGATAGGATCTCAGCCTGGGGACAAACACCAGAACAGACTGACTGCTGTTGTGTAAGTGAGGACAGCACTCAGCTGATCACTCCAAACCCAGCCAGCCCTGAACACAAGTCAGCTAAAGCAGCATCACCAAAAGAAAATGAGTGCTGGAGCCAACAGTGCCTCCACCACAGCTTCTGCAGCACAACTCCATCAGCAGCTCACAGACTGCAGCCTCCTCTGGCATTTTATCCTTTGCATAACTTCACAGAACCAAAGACATAACACAACTGGAGCAGCCTTCTGCACACATCAACCCCACAATATTTCTTCTCCATGCTGTTTCACTGGACAAACTACTGCCCTCTTGCATGCAGGCACAGTTTACAAAGCCAGAAATATTTCTCAGCTCCTATAGTTTGTGAGCATCAGCATTAAACACGACCAGACTTACTTTGCAGCTCGGCAGCCTTTTATCTATCCAGCTCTTCCCAGCGTGAGGTGGAACAGCAGATGTGTACACGGGAGGAAAAACGGGCACAAATTCCACACCAGATGATGGTGAAAATCCAACGACTGGAGAATGAGCTCCAAATATCCACTGCGGGGGAAAGAAAAAGAAAAAAAAAAAGCAGGAAGTTAACAGAAGGCTTTTGCCCCGAGCAAGTCTATGCTTCCATCATCTTCCAGCCGCCTCTGGGGTGACTGCATTGAATTTCAAGCCTCAGTCCAACGCACGTTCGTGCTGCCCGGCCGTGGCTCAGGGAAGGATGCGGTGCTGCCCACCTGCGACGGAACCCCGCGTTCAGAACAGCGGAGGCGGCTTTAGCGGTCACCCCCAGGAGAGGAGAAGAGCCAAAGGAAAAGCAAGCAGCGTATTTCTTGCGGAGGGGCTCACACGGAGCTCAGCCCCCGCCTGCCGCTGCCGGGACCCCGCCGCACGCCGACTGCCGCTTTGCTTCGCACTTTTGTTCTAACGTTACGAAGAGAGCGGTGCGGCTACCGGCACTGCTGCCGCTCCGCCTGCTGTAGCAGGGCAACTATTGCAGCCAAAGCGCGATCTGAAGCGCAGTCCCGATTATTCCCAGTGCGGCAGCGAGAAATAACCGAAACCCCGTCGGGGAGGGCTGGGCTCGGCGGCACGGCGGGGAACTCGGGAGCGGAACGAGCCCCTGGGTACGGGGAGCTGTGCTCGTATTGCTGCGCGTCCTCCTCGCTCATCTCTTACGGAACGCACCGCACGCGAACGGCGCCTACGGCCCGACAGCAGAAACCCACAGAGCCCGAAAGGCGCAAAAAACCCCACAACCACAAACCCAAACGAACAAAATAAAAGCATCGCGGGTTTCCCACCCGCTGGAAAATCCCCGTGCCCGGGGCTCGAAGAACCTCTAGCGGCCGCTGCCCGGCACGGCACGGCACCCACACGGGCTTCTGTCGGACGCACCGCTCAGCCCCGAGCGGCCGCAGTGCCCGGCGAGGATCGGCACGGAGCCGTTACCTGCCCGTGGAGCGGCGGGGGATGCTCGGCGAGCAGCGGCAGCAGCGGCTCGCAGGGAACGGGCCAGCCCACGGCCGGAGCCGAGAGCAGCAGCGGCGGCGGGGCCGCGCCGACCCTCAGGAGCCCCGGCACTGCCCACGCCCAGGGGGGCTCGGCGGGCCACAGCAGGGGCGGCGGCCGCTTGGCTGCGGGAGCCGGCAGCATCCTACATGGCACGGGGCTGCGCCGTGCCCGCCGCCCAGTGAAACTCCGCTCCGCGCCGGCAGCCGACGGCGGCTCAGGCACCGCCCCGCCGAGAGGCACCGCCCGAGCAGGGAGGAGCGGGGCGGAACCGCGACGCGGAGCTTCGGGGCCGTGCGGGGGGAGCCGCGATGTGGCGGATCGGGGCAGCTTCGAGGGGGGAGGACAGTCCTCACACCGAGCCTTGAAGCGAGTCCGCGGAAGGGCTTTCTGACACGAAACCGCGCAAAACGCATCGCAGGTTTTGGCTGTAAAGGCGATGTTACGCGAAGACGTGCTCGGTGTGGGTCTCTATTGCTACGTGGCTAGCCCACCGGTAGGGCTCCTGCTGTGGGCTGCGGAGGAATAACGCTCTCCTGCCTTCATTAGCGACAAAACCCTCACCTGCAGTCTGCAGAAACACAACCCCTTACTGTCACTGCTGGTGGCAAAAAACATTTGGAAAGGCCAGGTGTGCTGCAGGCTGACCTCTGTGGCACTGTTCAGAGGGTCTGGGTGACCCCACCACAGCACATCACACCCCACCCACTTCTGCCCCAACGTGGAAAAACACAAACTAGCCAGACTTTAGGAAAGCCTGTGGCAGTGCTTCCTTTGGGACCCCCCTGCAGAAGCTGCAGCCCACACCTGGGGCAGCCATGCCCATCACTGGGTGCAGAGCTGGCTGGAGGGTCAGGCCCTCGGAGTAGGACTGAGCAAGGCTCCATCCAGCTGGCTGCAATGGGACAATGCCAGCATTATGCTGACGTCCATAAGCTAATTGGAGGCTTCTTAAAACAGCATGGAAGAAAGTTAAAGGCTTAAAAACTGATTTTTTCATAGGATCATAGAATTGCTTGGGTCGGAAGGGATCTTAAAGATCATCCACGTCAACCCCCCTGCCTCTTATCTGATTCGGTGCACCGGGGGATTGGGTCTCTTGTGGCTGTGAATGACCTCAGCAAAGTTAATTCCTAAGTTTTGAAGCCAAATTACTGGGATGTGTGGTTAAAACACAGTGTTTGGGAAAATGCATTGCTTACAGTCCCCCTCAGAGAGATCTGGGAAGTGCTGATTTGAGTACAAAAAGTGACAGAAATCAGATAAAGAGAAACACACTTCCGAATGTTTTAGTGCTGGGTTATTTTATTTTGTAAAAAGACAAAAATCTTGTCGTGGTAATTGAAACTGAAGAGAAAAGCAGAAATATAATGACAGAAAAAATGGTTGTTTCCTATGAAACGCAATATTCTTAGAGTAGAATTTGTCTTAAATGGAGCAGTTCATCTACAAAATACCCAACATAACAGCAAACTGTGTTACATTTGTCATAGCTGCCAAGGATTGGAAATCTGGAGGAGAGTTTGCAGGCACTGAGTGGCTGTTTGTACCCATTGCCCTCTTTACATTCAGAGCAGCTCCCTCCCCGTGTGGGTTCAGCCCAATCCAGCAGAATAAAGGCAGCAGGAGGGCTCACAAGCAAGCAGGAGTGGCTGCTGCATGTTCTTCTCATAGAAAAGTTCTTTCCTATGAGAGTGGTGAGGTGCTGGAACAGCTGCCCAGAGAGGCTGTGGATGCCCCATCCATCCCTGGAGGTGTTCAAGGCCAGGTTGGATGGGGCCCTGGGCTGTTATGAAATGGGGAGGTTGGTGGCCCTGCATGTGGCAGGGGGTTGGAGCTTCGTGATCCTGGAGGTCCCTTCCAACCGTGATTCTGTGCATGGGCAGAGCCAGCTGGTGCTCGTGTTCTTTCAACTGCACACACAGGTGCCCTTTTCCACATGGAAAATTGAGCAAATTTACTTACTGGTAATGGGGGGAGGGGGGGAGGGCAGTCTTCCTAAGTACTTCACTAACAAGAGTTGGGAAAGGTTGTACAGGTAATGTAATTTCAGAAAGCCCGAGCTCACTCACGTCAGTTAAAGCTGGAGAGCTCCTGATAAGAGACGTTCCATCACCTGGCTAAACGCATGCTCACACTTACAGCTGCTTTTTCTCGTCGACTTCCTTATCTTACAGGTTAAAATATGATTAAAGCGTTGCTCTGGTGCTGCCTGGAGCTGAGGAAACCTTTGAGCATCTCCTCATCTGCATAAACGGCAGTGCTATGACAGGACCCCGCACCAGGAGCTCAGCCTCCCCCGTCAGGCTCTGGATGTAGTCGTGCTGTGCTCTGCTTTTCCTGGCCAGACCAGCGAGCGGCAGTGATGCTGAGTTGGGTTTAAGCAGCGAGGGATGCAGCGAAGCGCCCAGAAGCAGCGCCGGGGCGGTGAAGCACCGCAGAGCTCCGGCACAGCAAACACGGCTTATTTAACGCTGTGTGACAAATGGGAGAATTAGAAGGAAAAAAAGCCATAAGGGAAAGAAGTGTCTGGAGCGTAACTTTTTTTTGACTGGTAATTTCAGTTTAGAAGTGCTCTGGGAGGCTGTGGGAGCACTCCGGGCAGTCAATCACCCACACCTGGTGCACACATTACCCCCTGAATACCCTCAAGTGTACTTCGGATAGCCCCAGAGTCAATTTAGCCCTCAAACAAAAGGTTGAGGTCCATCATCTTCATTTTTAAGTCCAGAAAAATGGGTCTGTAACATTCAAAAAGGGACTCCCTTCATTAACATCTAAACTAAAGACATTTCCTACCGAGGATATTATTAACTGCCCTTTCTGCTGGGTTCTCTCGATGGGAAATGGACGATACTGGGTAATGACTGACCATTCTTATGGTAATGCATCCTGCTCATCTATAGGACGGGGACCTAAATCTCCTCGCTGGCACAGCAGCCATCAGAGGCACGAACATCAGTGGCTGTGATGAACAGAAGCAGAGCTCTGCCTGCAGGTGTTCTGTGCAGCTCCCAGCACAGAGCTGCGCAGACACGTAGATGTGAGCCTGCCTGCAATGATTCGCACTGCCCAGTCCCGGCAGAACCGCGTGCTTCAGCAGCTCCCTAACAAACAAACTCCTCCCTGCTTCCCAAACGCTATCTATGCTCCCTGCTATCTTTGCCAGCGCCTGCCTCCCAGCCTAACCTGCTCGTCTCACACCGTGCAGAGGGGTTGGAGAGAGCAAAGGGAATCTCAGCTGCCATCTCTGCTATCTGGAGCTGTCTGAAAAGCAAGCATGAACATAAGCAGCTTTTTCTTCTCAAGTACTAAACCACCCGATTCACTGCTCTGCAGCTCTACAGCAATCAGGAGCCCCATCTCAGGAGCTCTTATGTCTTCCAAGCAGAGCTGCCAAAGCATCCAGCCAAATAAATGACCCAGCTGGTGATTATTCTGTTGAGGTTTCACATAACGACGAAGACTAATCATCCTTCCCTGGGGTTAATCCCTACCTGCTGCATCAGTCATTTGTTTCCAACAGTGATAAACAGCAAATCCATCAGAAACAGATCAAATAAACCCATGATGCACCTAATTGTGTGATACCTTGCTATGACGTGAAATGAGCTCTGACTCCAATTAACCATAGAATGGCCAGGATTGAAAAGGACCACATTGCTCATCCAGTTCCAACCCCCTGCTATGTGCAGGGTCACCAACAGCAGCCCAGGCTGCCCAGAGCCACATCCAGCCTGGCTTTGAATGCTTCCAAAGATGGGGCCTCCTTGGGCAGCCATCAGCTTTCAACCTGTAGCATGAGGATTGATTGTCTCTATGTCTTTCACTCTACGTAGCAGAACCACAGAAGTTATTTTTATCCTTGTATGCAGCTCACCTAAAGCTCTGACCAACCCCTTTTGGAAACAATGACTACCAAACCATAGTCCCTCTGTATGGGGAGGGATTAACCCCAGATCATAGAATGAATCATAGAAGGGCCTGGGCTGAAAAGGACCACAACGATCATCTAGTTTCAACCCCCCTGCTTTGTGCAGGGTCGATGCCTGAAGCAGTCAAGTTTTCATGATTTAGCTGCTGATGCCCATGGGGAGATGGAGGGAAGCACAGAGTACATGAGAGTGGTGAGTGGTAGAACAGCTCCCATGGCTCCTCAGGGCACAGCTCTGTTCTCTGCTGAACATGTTCCTCAAGGCAAACACATCGAATGAAAAATCCTGAAGTGACCTTTTGTTTCTATTACTGTAATGTGAAATAACCTCATACTCATTTTTTGCCAAATCCCATTGATTTCCATCTCCAGTGTATCAAGCTCTGTTTCAAACCCATTAAGAAAAATCTCAGAAATTGGAGTCACATGGATAGTACCTTTGGTGCAATAAAAGTCACTGCAGCAAAGTCATTCCTGGCGCCTCGGGGCTGTGATGGGAGTCACCCTGAGATCCCAGATCCCCCCAGACCTGCCTCTCCCAGCCCTCCTGCTTACAAGGGTGGATAGTGATAGGACAAGGGGGAATGGTTTTAAAGTGAGACAGGGGAGGTTTAGGTTGGATATGAGGAGGAAGTTTTTCAGCCAGAGGTGGTGAGGCACTGTTCACAGGTTGCCCAAGGAGGCTGTGGATGCCCCATCCCTGCAGGCATTCAAGGCCAGGCTGGCTGTGGCTCTGGGCAGCCTGGTCTGCTGGTTGGCGACCTGCACATAGCAGGGGGTTGGAACTGGATGAGCACTGTGGGCCTTTGCAACCCAGGCCATTCTGTGATTCTATGATTCTGCAGGAGACCAAGTGGAAGTGCACAGCAGCCATTGGGCTGGCGCTGCTGAGCAGCAACAGGGGGCAGATGGGGAAAACTAAAATGTCAAACCACGAGGAAGCTTTTTCCTCTCAAAAACAATCTTAGGGTCAGGGAAAGGGTGGTGGGGAACTCCTGCACCACCAACCTGGCCCTGCTGGAATGGGCACAGCAGCCATCAGTCAGCTTCTGCCGGTGTCAACAATTTCCAGCCATGTCACTGCTGATCTCAGGACTGCTCTTCCATGCACGCCTTGTGTGGTTCCTCATTAGCCATTGTTTTCCCTTTCAGTCTGTCTCCACCTTGCTGGTTTTTAAGTGCCCCCTGAGGAGATCAGGCTGATCTTGGA